TCTCTTCATAATATCCCTCAGATTCTCTATGGGGTTCAGGTCAGGAGAGTTGGCAGGCCAACTGAGCCCAGTGATACCAGTAAACCATTTACCAGTGGTTTTGGCTCTGTGAGCAGCTGCCAGGTCGTCTTCATCTCCATGAAGCTTTTCAGCAGATGGAAGCATGAAGTTCTCCACAATCTCCTGATAGCTGCATTGATCCTGGCCTTGATAAAACCCAGTGGACCAACACCAGCAGCTGACATGGCGCCCAGACCATCACTGACTGTGGCTACTGACTCTGGACTTCTATCATTCTGGCGTTTCCTTCTCCCCAGTCTTCCTCCAGACTCTGGCACCTTGATTTCCAGATGACGCGTCAAACTGAGCAACAGTCCAGAGCTGCTTCTCTGTAGCCCAGGTCAGGCGCCTCTGCTGCTGTTTCTGGTTCTAAAGTGGCTGAACTGGAGAAGGCGGCACCTGTAGCCCATTTCCTGCACACGCCTGTTCACGGTGGCTCTGGATGTTTCTACTCCAGACTCAGTCCACTGCTTCAGGTCCCCCAAGATCTGGAATCGAACCTTCTCCACAATCTTCCTCAGGGTCCGGTCTCCTCTTCTCGCTGTGCAGCGTTTTCTGCCATTTTTTCCTTCCCACTGAGGCTCCTTGATGCAGCAGCACTCTGGGAACAGCCTATTGGTTCAGAAACATCTCTCTGTGTCTGAGCGTCTGGCTGAGGGGGTCAATGATGCCTTCTGGGCAGCAGGCAGGGCGGCAGTCTGACCCATGATGGGGTCTGAGTGATGAACCAGGCTGGGAGTTTTTTCTTTTTCAGGTGTTTAGAGTTAATTTGTTGATTCAGATGATTAGGTGCATAGCAGCTCGTTTAGAGACCTTTATCATTATGTGCTAATTTTGTGAGATATTTTGGGTTTTTCATGAGCTTTATGCCAAAATCATCCGTATGAAGACAATAAAAGACCTGGAATATTTCAGTTAGTGTGCAATGAATCTAAAATATGTGAATGTTCAAGTTTTATCATAACAATATGGAAAATAATGAACTTTATCACAATATGCTAATATTTTAAGAAGGACCTGTAGTCTTTAAAACAGAGATTTCTACGGCTTGATGTTTGTTAGATGTCAGAATTCAGTCAGAATTCTGAGATTAAAGTTAGAAATTTGATTCTGACTTTTTTTCTCATGCTAAAATATTTTATTTTTTCAGTGGCCCTAATCCTCTTCCATAGAAAAACATCTCAGAATAAATAAAAATGTCTTTAATGAAATTGAATCAGTGTTAATTTGAGCAGGTAAAGGGAAAACCTGCTGTATTAATGTTCACCACTAAAGTTCGTCCGGCTAAATGCTCCGATTCCTCTCAGTTACTTACTGTTCTACAATCCAGGCAGATCTAGACTTACCAGACCTTCTGGACACTCCTCTGGACTCTCCACATCCTCACCGAGGACGCCTGTCATCCTGCGGCCTCTCTCGGAAATATTCCCGCGATGCGGCCACCTCCACCGTCAGCATTCAGGGCTCAGGGAACCATTACCATGCCTGCACCTCCGATGATTACGAAGATGTTGGTTTTGACCCCTCCATCCTCCCCCCACCAGACCCCTGGATAGACACCGTTACCGACGACCCCCTGGATGCCAACTTTAACAGCTCTGCCATCCTGGAGGTAAGCGCTCCCTTTGCTTTGTCTCACAGTGTGATAAAATGTTAATAAATACCTTTTTTTGGAAGCAGTTTATTTTTCCAACTCAAATTTCCAATAAAGGTCTGAAGGTCAAAAGGTCTCAATTCAATCGACTCGTAGAGGCAGAGTCCAAGTTGATGAGATCAAACCCAGTAATGGATCAATGGAGAAAGAACCGCTGAACCCGGTGAGACGTTAGGAAGAGGACGTCTGTCACCCATCAGACAGGAAGACGTCTCTTTCAGTGGATCTGGATGCATTAATGATCCTAATATCCTCATGTTGTCCAACAGGAGACAGATAAGGTGACCTCTGACCCCTGCAGTGGGTGGGTCAGCATTGGTAGCGTTTCTTAAAACATGAACCAACATCAGCCATGTCCTCTGGCCTCATCCAGCTCCCAGCCTTCCATCTAGCTGCTGATGTCACTTCTGGAAACTCTGTTGATGCTGCATTGATTCTGTCTCACAGAATACTGACACCTGCTGGACATTTAAAGACACTACAGGCAGCTAATTGGACAGACTGAACTGAAAATATTGGATGGTCTAGAACAGGCATCCCCAAACTTCGTCCTCAAGGCCCCCTGTCCTGCAGGTTTTAGAGGTTTCCTGCTCCAGCACAGCTGATTTTAATTGAAAGCTGATTAACAGGCTTTTTCTCTACTGCAGTCATTATAACCAGCTGTGCTGAAGCAGAGAAACCTCTAAAACTTGCAGGACAGGGGGCCTTGAGGACGGAATTTGGGGATGCCTGGTCTAGAACAATGATAGCATTGAAATTATTGTAGGTTATATTGGATCGTTTCATACACATGTTTAAATTGAAAATAAATACACAGTAGAGACCAAAAGTTTGGACACACCTTCTCATTCAAAGAGTTTTCTTTATTTTCGTGAACAACTGAAAATATGTCTTATATTCTAGATTCTTCCCCCTTTAGCTGTAATTGCTGCTTCGCTCACTCTTGGCGTTCTCTTGATGAGCTTCCAGAGTTCGTCACCTGAGATGGTTTTCCAACAGTCTTGAAGGAGTTCCCAGAGATGCTTAGGACTTGTTGCCCTTTTGCCTTCACTCTGCGGTCCAGCTCAGCCCAGACCAACTCGATTGGTTTCAGGTCCGGTGATTGTTGAGGCCAGGTCATCTGGCCCAGCACCCTATCACTCTGCTTCTTGGTCAAACAGCCGTTCCACAGCCTGGAGGTGTTTGGGCTCATTGTCCTGCTGGAAAATAAATGATGGTCCAACTAAACACAAACCGGAAGGATTGCATGGCGCTGCAGGATGCTGTGGTAGCCATGCTGGTTCAGTTTGCCTTCAATTTAGAATAAATCCCCAACAGTGTCACCAGCAAAGCACCCCCACACCATCACACCTCCTCCTCCATGCTTCACGATGGGAACCAGGCATGTCCATCCGTCCATAGGGTGTAGAGTCCATCCGTCCATAGAGTGTAGAGTCCATCCGTTCACCTTTTCTGCATCGCACAAAGACATGATGGTTGGAACCAAAGATCTTAAATCTGGACTCATCAGACCAAAGCAGATTTCCGCAGGTCTAATGTCCATTCCTTGCAAGTCCTTCCAAAGCATCGTTGTGCTGTATGCATATTTCCCCTTTATTCCACGCCTTCATGTGTTCCCTTTAAATAATAGTTTTCCCCCTGAACTAGCTTCATGAAATGGATCAGGAAAATACTGCTGGTCAAGGTTTGATGGCCTGACCTAACAAAACTACGGAAGCCCTGAAGACTAGTGGAAAATAGAGACAACTAGTATGTAGAGCGCCATTTTCTCTTCAGATATGTATATCACTCATTTAACACAATACAAAGAATTAATCACTAAAACTAAATCCACTACTCCAACCGATTTGCATAAACAGCACCCCCCACCTATGCTGAACTGATGCTTGTAATTATATCATTCAGTTTTTTAACGATAAAATCAGATATTCCCCAGTGCCTGTCTCCTATCCTGTCATCTCTCTCCCATATAACCCCTCCGCTCTGCCAGTCTTACCCCAGCTTCCATTAACAAACCCTCTCCAATATCTCTCATTTTATCAACAAATCTTCCAAAATTCACCTCAAATTTGTATCTCTTATTGTCTTTACCT